GCTGCACACATCTGAATATTTGGGTTGAACTGTTCTGGAACAGTGTTGTAAATACAACTTAACCACTGATTTCTAGTCGTGTCCTCTTTCGGAAGGCCAAACAAAGTATTTTCGCTTTCACAATGAAACACGCAGCGTCCTCACAACATGGCGGCGGCGGCGGCAGCGGCAGCGGCAGCAACAATAAAGTTACGCCTTCTTTCTTTGCGTGAACATTTGGGCGGCGTTATGCAAATCTTCCCACACAGTGACGTAGATATGTGGGGGCGTGTTTAAACGAGGCGTTTTAGGAGGGCGTAGATGAGTCTTAACTTTTATAAAGAATATCTCTTTGGGTTTGAGACTTTAGTCTTTGCAACTTTAGGGATCTTATCTATTCACGAAGCTTGTAACACTCCAAAGAGAAAGGAAAACTTGAAATCGCATCATATGACCCCTTTAAAATGTAATTTATTCCTATGATGGCAAAGCAAAATTTTCAGCAGGTATTACTCCAGTTTTCAGAGTCACATGATCCTTCAGAAATCATTCTAATGCTGATTTGGTCCTCAAAAAACATTTCTTATTAATATCAATGTCGCAACAGTTGTGCTGCTTAATACTTTTGTGAAAACCTGTACTTTTTTTACACGATTCTTTGATTAATAGAAAGTAGAACATCATTTATTTGAAACAGAAAACTTTTGTAACACAAAGTGTTTACTGTGACTTTTGATCAATTTGATGTATATTTGCTGAATAAAAGTATGAATGTCTTTTTTATTTGTACCTTTTGAAAGTTACTGTACATTTAAATGGCTTTGTACATCATTTATACATTAATTATGCACATTTTATTCATATACTGAATATGTGTATGAGAGAGAAACTTACCTTATAACCTCCTGAACCAGGACAGTGTTCATAGATTCTTCATACATCACTGGGTATTTATTCACGACCTCCTGCACATTAATGAGACTGGGAATCTTCTCCACAATCCCCTCCACTTTTTCCTCTATGATCTTGATGTGTAGAGGAGAAAAGAGAGTGTGCATTAAACCTGAAAAGCATATGCATTTTACATCACAGATGTTAAGCATGATCTATAATTGTTAGCACTGTAGTCGCTATAGTAATCACCTCACTGCACTGCATTTGAAAACACATGGATGCTATCAAAAATTAAATGCATGGCTGTTTGAAATGCTGCACAACCTTGTGGCCTTCTAAAACTATAGACTATCTATTTAGGTTGGTTTCACTACGTGTAATCCTCATTGAAGAGCACAGTCTCATGCAAAACATGAATACATACAAAATACACCAGATATAAATTATCATTCAAAAATTTGGGGTTGGTAAGATTTTTTTTTATGTATTTGAAAGAAGTCTCTTATGCTCACCAAGACTGCATTTATTTGATTAAAAAATACAGTAAAACAGTAATATTGTGTTTTATTGTAAATAATATTTCAATTTAAAATAAATATTTTCTATTTTAATATATTTTATTCCTGTGATGTAAAGCTGTATTTTCAGCAGACATTCTACACATTCTGACATTCAGACGTTCTAATTTGCTGATTTGGTGCTCAAAAACACTGCTTTTATGGAAACTGATGCTGATTTTTTTTAGTATTCTTGAAAAGTTAAAAAGAACAGCATTTTTAACAATGTAAAAGTATTTACTGTTATTTGTAATCAATTTAACCCATCCTTGCTAAAAAACAAACAAACAAACAAACTTTCTGACCCCAAAAATTTGAATGATAGTGTATTTACATAAACATTAGCACATTCAATTCAAATAAATGTATGTAGAATCAATATGACACATACTTCATCTCTGGACTTGCCTCCGCTGGCTGCTGCTCTGGGCTGGAGCTTCACTAAAGTTCCCAGCAGAGCAAATATCTCATTTTGTGCAAAGCTGATGTTGGCATTGACATGGAGGCCAAAGATCTCCGGCCAGTCCTTAATTGGTAGGCCACGAAAGTATGTCAGATAACCCTGCACAAAAATTAGATTACATAAACATAACAGACCACAAGACTGGGCTGAATTGTGAGACTGTGGAGGGAAAAGTTCCTGAGATCAGCTTTACTGTTTTGCATAATATCTGAGGTTAAGTGATATCAGTTCTGGACCTTGACATTGTTCTCAGTGTTGATTTGTCTGTATTCTCCAGAAGGAGAGTAAATGTGTTCAAGGCCTAGGACAGCAGGGCAGTAGAAATCCTCCAGGATGTTTAGGATGCAACGGCGATCCCAGTTGTCTGTCACACAACCCCCATAGTTTATTTCCCCTGCAGTATACTTCAGAACCTGAACAGAGAGGAAGAGTGAGAAAAATGAAAACAAGATCAGAATGATTTGTGAGTTTGGCTTCTTTTACACATAATAAAAATATAACCACTGGCAAATACCGATGTTAAGATGTTCTGTAACTGCTAAAAATGCCATGTTTATAGTCACCCAATATATGCTTAATCAACTAACGATGTGCACAAAGGATG